GTAATATCGGATCGGTCCATCTCTAGTTTAAACACAAAATTACTGCTCAACTTTTTGTTCTCTAAGGAACCAGCTGCTATATGGTGTCATTAATCTCTTGTACAACTACCACTGGCTATTTTGATCATCAGATACACCTCTCAAGGGCAACCACACTAATGCTGCCATTAGTGAGGACTGAAATCTAGAAGATGTCTATTTAACAGTGAACAGCTTTTTCACCTTAATGAGCAGGCAGGACGTGCATCATTGTATATGCTAGTGTGTGTACGTTTGACAGATAGAGAGATGGAGATGTTGACTTTCCCTTCTTGCTGTGACATCATTATCATTGAAACAGATGAAGGGGACAGTACGTCTCTTCAGGACACCAAGCACCACTGGCTGAACAGACCCTGTCTGCTGGTGCTCAAAGATGGAGATGTGTCAAAGCCTGCACTGGACTGTAGAGAAATCAGACCGCAATCTCCATCTAAAGCCACATCGGATGCGACGCTCAGGAGCAAATCTGGACCTTGTGAGCAGAAACCTATTGAACATCCCACTGAATCTGCTTCCCAAGTGGAGAATGGCAGCTGCACTGTGACTTCCATCTCCACATGGGGTGAAAAGGAGTCCCCCAGCCCTCTAGTGTTGGGCCCAGCAGAGGCCGCGTGGGCAGAGGAGGAGGAAGAGAAGAACCAGAAGTCGCCGGTTCTCCCATCAAAGGAAGACTCTGTGATTGAGGAGAAGGAGCGGGAGGAAAGTGGGCTGGAGCAGCAGGATGAGTCCTGCAGTTTGGAGGGACCATCTCGAGGAGATCAGACAAACACCAATAAGGCTGGGGCAGGCCGCGGGGAGGAAGCGATGGGTGAGTGCGCTGCTTCTCCCGTGGATCTCGATGAAATGTCTGAGACGAGCCCCGTCGGCATTCTGTCCAAGGATCGAGTCACTGTCCTCGGTGAGGTGGCCCCCGTGTGGGTCCCCGATGCCGAAGCGCAGGTCTGCATGAAGTGTGGTATCAAGTTTACATTCACCAAGAGGAGGCACCACTGCCGCGCCTGTGGGAAGGTAAAAAAGGATTTAAAAGTTTATTTTCTGTGTAATTAAATCTGAAGTGAAATCAAATGAGCAACTTGATAGTTTATAAGTGGAGTGTACGTGTGTGTCTCTGTTCACGTGTGGTGTGTGTGCATGTGTGTGTCGTCAGGTTTTTTGTGCACTTTGCTCCAGTTTGAAGTTCAAACTTACACACCTGGATGGGAAGGAGGGACGAGTATGCATTTCCTGTCATTCAGCACTCATTAAAAGTGAGCGTGATTGTTTTTTAGGTATTGCTGTAGTTGTATTTTTGAAATCATGCAGAAATCATTCTTGTATCTTCTCTTCAGGGATGTCTCCAAAAGGAAAAAGAAGGGTGTGGTTTGCAGACGAAATCCTCACCAATAAGCATTCAGAGTCCGCCCCGACCACACCCGTCAGGGAGCCCGCGTTCTCACCGCTGATGAGTCGAGTGCTGGGTGGGCCTGTTAAAAGTCCTGTGGGTTCACCCCAGATCAGGAGAGCTTTGAGGCCACATGGAACAATGATTGGTGTAGGTTCACCCAAAACGTGCCACTAAAACTCGACTACAGGGAAAATGTTGTTGTTCTGTGATTTAGAGGGAAATGAATGATATATGTATTCTCACTCTGCCTCCCTTCAACTCCAGGAGGCCTGTGGTCCCTACGGCTGGGGAACCACAGCTTTAGTGAGCAGCTCTGCTAACCTCATTCCCTTGGATGGCTTGCCACCCATACTCACCTCCACAGGAGTCAAAGGAGGTAGGGCTAGCTGCAATTTAGAGTTTCAAAGTGAAAAGTAAACTTATTGTGTTTCCTCCTCAGATCCAGATACTTTTTGTTTTTCATTATATTCCTCCCCTTTTGTTAATGCTTTCATGTCTTGCACAGTGCATGGTGCAAATGTTGATGGCGGGTCACAAAGAAATAGGAGTTCTATGCAAATTGGGCAGCCAATGGCAAGGGGGGGAAATGGTCTCTGATTTTGAGCAGTTAATAGTTTAGTGATGAAGAGCAGATGGAGTAAAGTGAAAGCAGAAATTACAGATTCACACGGAATAAATTAGTGGTTCCT